GGAATCACAGTACTGAACTGCCCATCATCTACTACACATTCGTATGCGGAATAGCTTATTTGACCATGCGTTCAATTTTTCCCCAGGTTTTGCACTATGGAAATATCAGACAAAGAAACCAAGAACAACTTCTCCACTATTTACCTCACGTTGTCTGCCTCCTCGTCTTAAGGATAGAGAAATCGTCAATGATACACTCAACAGGTGAGCTGAAGACTGGCATTTCGCTTTCTTGAACCGAAAAAATCCGAATTGAACTCAAACTTTGTCTAGAGAAGTTACACATGCAGATATGCATATGCTGTTCGTGTAGCTTTTTTTTGTTGGAAATCTGTAAGGGAGAGTGGCGGAGAGAGGGAGGAAGGAGGGCGCGAACACTAATGCCCATTTTGCGCAATCGTGTGAGAAAGAAGCTTTGTTCAGGAGAATTACTAAATCTGTCAAGTGTAAAAATGAGTTTGGTGTTTTTGTTCATTCGTATAAGCACAGCAAGTCAAATAGTACTCTTTACAATAGGAAGCACGATCCACGAACCGTCGCCTAGGGCTCTGCTACACGATTCGATTGCGATTGGCATTCGATTGTCTTTACTGTATCACTTTTTTTGGCATCTGTGTTTTTAACTCGCAACTGTTCCTCCAAATCCTACGGTAAGCTCTGGGCGGAAAACATACCATAATCGTAAAATGCATTTCAGAAAGAACATTTAGGCTAGATTTTAGCGAAATCCGGGATTGAAAGTGAATTTTGAGTTAAAATACGTGCAACGATACAAAAATACTGACTAATGCGATGATCTAGTACACAAGGAGTGTAGTTATGCGAAGCGAGAACAACACCCATTCTTTAACCCAGCGGCCATATCATCCGTACGTTAACTGCTGCCAAAATCATATTCCACAATTTCAAATTTTTGCGCAACACATCCGGTCGCAATTTCATAGCTCTTAGCGACACGAAGCCGCTTTCAAACACTTCAAACTCGAATACGTCATTAGAATACTGCGGGCAGCTCCTGAGCAATGACGAACACTCTACTTTGATTAACTTAATGTTGGTAATATTGGCATTTTCGTAAAACAGCTTTCAAAAAATTTCAAGGAATCATAGTAAATCATTTTAAAAAACCTGTGCCGTTATCCATTTGATTCAATGTTCCGATTCCAAATGAAAAACAAAGTTAGGACAAAATATTTGAAAAAAAATGATGAGTGCTTTTTTTAGATGAATCAATTGTCCACAATTTTGTAAAATAGCGGGAAGAGCGTGGAAAGAAAATCGCGGAAGCTTATGTACCAACTCGGTTTGCATTTTCCAAATCTTTATACTATAATTTTGGGTTG